ATTATATATAAAAGTATTATACATATTCCCATATATGATTAATCTATGTTTATAGAAAATGTTAATAACAATATGTTACCTTTATAAAAATCTAAGCGAAGTTTTTATTCACTTGCATATTGTAGTTAACAAAATCATATTTCATATTAAATTTCAATAGCTGTCCAATTGAATAAACTCCAACTTGTTTCTAGTCTGTCCTTGAATGCATTGTGCCAGGAATTTCCTCGTCACAAAGGACGTTTCGTCTATCTGCACACATGCCAGCTGCATTTTCAAATACAATCAGTTGAGTTTGTGGGAAAATTTCCTGAGCTTGAGCAAACACAACTTTCAAAGCTGAGAGACTTATGTGCCTGCCGATGAGTGCCTCAATGTTAGATTACATTCCTAAAGCCCACCGCAGGCGCATAAGAGAGCAGCCCTAAAAGTGCCCAAATTGTGTCAGTAGACAGCAACAGGCAACAGGCAACAGACAACAAACAGCAGGCAGCTTAATTTCCTTTTGGCAACGCTCTGCTTTGGGCTAATGTAGTGGAGCCATTTGACTGGTAGTTAGGGACAACGCAGGGCGTGGCACGCATTAGGGTTGAGTCACTTGCCTTGGTCGTTCTGCTCACATTTCAGAGAATTATCTACGAATCCACTTAGTGGCATTGTCAACTAACTGTTTCACTTGATTTGTGTTTTTTTTTGTCATTTGCAGATTCATTGATGTGCCCATTGAGTCCTGTGGACGCTCGTCTCCTCTACGCATTGCGCTGCAGGCAAATGCTCCAGAACTGCTGCTCATTCTGCTCAGGTAAGCAAGGGCGGGGCCCTGGTTGGGTGCACACTTCAATTAGCACAAAAAATATGCATAGTGCCCTGGCAGTGGTGGCGTCATCATAATGTATGCAACACAAAACTCTATGCGGCGCTTAGCATAATCAAGTGGTACAACTGACAATGGAAGGCCCCCTTCGCCTGGACCCCTGCGCGGCACCCTTGACAGGCGTAACGGCTCTTGAGCGAGATGCAAATATTAACATTAAATATGAAAGTCGCTGCCAAAGCGAATTTGCATGACAAGGCGTCTCCGCTGTGTCTCATGGCCAGCAGAAGAGGCAGCCACAGCTACAGCCATAGCCAAGCAGCCTGCCACAAACTTGCGAGCATGCACTCAACAGCAGCAGTAACAGCAATAACAACAACAATAATATCATTGAAATATTCATAAAATTTATATGTAAACGCTTGCAGTTTCAACTAGTTTTAGCCCGCACAGACGTTGTCCTTGGAGCTGGTTCTACGTAGTTTTTCTTTTTTTTTGTTTTTTTGTTTTTTTGTTTTTGGTTTCTGCTTGCGGTTGGCAATTTATTGTTTTAGAACTCGATATTGGCCAAGTTGTTGGCCGTTTCCTAAACATTGTTGCTGTTGTTGCCACGGCACGCCCCAGTGCTCAGCGCCGCCCCTTGGCACAGGCGCCTCTCGTTGCATTTCTTGATGCAGCGCCAAAAAGTATGCGCATATTGATTGCCAGCCAAAAATCGAAGAGCCAAAGCGGCTAAAGGCAAAAAGGCAAAGATTGCAATCAAATCAGAGCCGGCCACTAGATATAACAATTTATGTCCAATTGCACGAAATGCAAATGCTCTCAGCAAGTGCCATAAAGCGTTGCAACCAAGAGAGCTTCCAAACCATTCAGATTCAATTGAACTATGCGAACTGATTATTATTAGGGCAAGGTTATCCTTTAGCACTGCATAAATACATTTTCAATTTCTAGATATGAATGTGAACGCAATGCAAGTTATGCTAACGATGATAATAACAATGAGAGTGCTTATGATAGTGGTGCCAGTAATATAAGCAGCCATAGTTGGTTTCTAATTTGACATTTGAATTAACTGTCGTAGAGTAAGCGCTTTCATAGTTAGTTAGTTTGTGAAACTTTTGCTTCGCTCAAGTTTCGTATTGCACAGCAGAAACATTTTCATAGCATACTTTTGTGCGCAACTGAAAATCAATTTCTTTACTATGTAATATTGCGCGAGATGATTGATAAGTTATAGAAGGCATTTTGTATCAGATTCTGCGAATCTGCCTCTCAATACTACTTGAACTGCGAGGCAGATAATTGCAGCAAAGCAAGCGAGAGTTGAAATCGAACAGAGCAAAAAATCAGAGGGAGGGAAGGAATGAAAGCGTTACGGTCGAACAAACAGACAAATCTCGGCGAGCTTGACTTAGAAGGCCAAGGAGAGCAAGGAATAATTATAATTAATGACGGACGAATGTAGTTAGATTTAAAAAAAATTGTTTTTAATCGCCTTTTTATGCAGTTTTTATGAATTCAAATAAATTTGAATTGATCAAATTTTAGAATTTTGAATTAAATGTTAAAATTTTTATAAAAATAAAAAA